AGCTCCTCTCTGACGTGTTTCGGGCCTGAGCACGTTATCAAAGGGATGCGTTCGCCATGCCGACGTCTGAGTTTAAACAGTCTCGCACGCATGCGCGGATGGATGCTATGATACCACAATGCGCATGCGCGAGCGGGACAAGCCAGTGGGAGGGACATCACGCTGTGTCCACCGGGTGAACATGAATAAGCATGCACTTACTGACCAGTTGGGGCTAAATTATACATAACAGAGATATATCAGAAAAAACAGTATCCGTTATGGACAGCAATAATCAAACGGGGACATATTTTCTACAATAAGGGATGAAACATAAATCCTGGCCGCCATTTTATTGAAGTCTAGCGGAGATAACCCATATATTAAAGGCCATAAGTTAGGATACCGGCATTTTAATGGAGACAGGTGGAAGGCAAATGAGCCTCTATATTGTTGTGGACCTAAAAACGGCTCTGAATATGAATAGCATGAACGGACTACAAATCCCAGCTGATACAAGTGCGATAGACAAAAAATGTATATATTAAGGGTGATGTAACCCCACTGGTCAATACAACATGTGCTATATACAGTAAAAAGGAGTGTTAAAACATGCAATAAAAATAGGATAAACATCAAAATTTGAATTAGAACATATAAATACATATACAAACAAATATTGTATATATTATCCCTTTAAAAAAAAAAAAAAATAATATATATATATATATATATATATATATATATATATATATATATATATATATATATATTGTGGGCACTCGCTTCAACGTGGTAGAGCTTTTAAAACGCACACAGCTACTCGCTTTCTTTTTCAGGGCCTTTTTAGCCCACTTTTATTTAAATGACAGTTCAATAACATAAGAGGTTCCCACGCAGGGGTATCCACCATCACACACAAAACAACGATTCAGCCTCCTGGCTTATACTCAGCTTGATGTCTGTCTCCTGCAGACTTCTTCAAGAATTATGGCTCTAGCACACCGCTGGCCTCTAGCAGCCCCTTGCTGCTTTTGGCTTCCACCTCTCCTAGGTGGAGGCCACCTGACTCCTATCTGCTAGGGTGGAGCCCAGAACCCTGGTCCTGACTCTCTCTAAAGGCCTGCACACACCTGTGCAATCAGTCTCCTGGCCATTCCCAAAACCTGGTCCCAGGATTGGAGATTTCATCCCTCCCAGATCTCTTTGAAATCTCCAGGCTCCAGATCCCAAAACAGACTTTACAAACAAAGGAGGAAAGTGAAAAGCCACTTTCCTCCGTATCAAACACATACCCTGGAGCCCCTCAACCTGCCTTGTTGAGAATCCAGGGTGACAGATCGCCACACTGTCACATATCCCCCCCCTTTGTTTTGATCCCGTAGGGGGCAGAAACACACAACTTATCTCTTCTGGCACTTCTGTGCCATCTCTCACTTACAGGGGTCCAATCTGGTCTAACCATACCTTTCCTAAAGGGGAACTCTACCCAATGACTCCTTTGGTGTCTCTCCCCAAGCCCCATTGTCACTCTGCTATGGGCTCTACTCAGACCTTCCCTATTCTTTTTCCGCGTGCATTTCCATAACCACTTTCTCTCCTGAGATCTTAACGGGGTCCCCCTGGCCTTTCTATTGACCTTTCTGCCCCTTTGCTTCAGGTTCCAAGGTTTCCTAATACCGCTCTCAGTATTACTGTCCCAAGGCTGTAGGGGAACTATTTCTACTCCAATTGGATCTGTATCCAAACCCGGTACAGATGAGCTCTCATTTGATCTACTTTGCCAGTTTTCACATACCATTTGTCCCTGTATTTCAGGTGTCTTATCAGACCTGCTATATAAATCTCTTTTTGGCCCAATGACCCCGATTTCTTGGTGCACATCCATTTGAGCCCTGGTCAGGATCTCTGCTGTTCTCTGGTCCATGTTTGGCCCTTCCATCTCATGTGGTTTGTCCACTGGTGCAATTAACACGCCCTTCACTGACAACTGACCAGCACCAACCTGGACCATAGCAGCAGAAATGCTTCAAACCTGGCTGTTAGGAGGTGAAACCTTTGACTCATTTTCCATTTCTCCAAAACATTTCTCATATATCACATTTACAGGTAATCCAGCGGCATACCCTGATACCGCTTTTAACACCATCAACAAATTCAGAAATAAACCACTTTCTTGTTCCCGTTTGATATGTACAGCCAGCCATTCGGTGCTCCACCTAGTGGTACTCCGCAGTACCAGACCATCTGACTGTGGAGGAGACACCCCAATATACATTGGTTGTACATTCCAAAGTTCAAGCATCTCCTTTAATACTTTGGTTACAACCCAACCACGTGACTCCAAACCTAAGACCTTCCTGACCATACTTAGGGCACTGGGAACGCTGAGAGACTCACCTGCTGAGACTTGAGAAGTTGAAATTTTTAAAGGGACCTCCTCCAAGCTGGCGATAACCAAAGCCTGGTGCTCCACCAGAACGCTGCCATGTGCTGGGCTCACTCTCAACATCTCAGACTCAGCATCCACAAGCTGCCCCTGATCATTCCCAGTGACATCATTTTGACACTCCATGCCAACATCACTTTTGTGGGTCACCGACAAAGTCTCTGCTGTATGCACGCCCTTATCTATAGACTGTTCTATAGATCCTCCTGCTGGCACAGCAGAAACAGTGTCCACCTTATTTTTTTTCATAAAAACCTCATCTATCAATGAGATTAGCCTTTTACCCCAACTATCCCAATCCATTGTATATGTGCTCAATTCGTCAGTGCTCCTCAGCACCGATCCATCCGCCCAAGGAGACACACAAGAATAGACGGGCTTAGTTGCAGATCCATTGCACAAATCACTCTGGATCACATCAGACTTGGGTAACACCTGGTTTCCCACTGCAGGTTGCAATACCTCACATCCACCACTTTGCTCTGGTGATACTTCCTGAATTACCCACACACTTGCATTTTTTCCAGGCTGCATTAACCCGCTGTTCACCTGAACACTTCCAGTATTATTAGACTGCACCAACACACTCCTATGACAAGGTGCAGTTCCACTCTGCTCCACCAGAGTGACATCGCAGTTGTCCAGGGCAACCTCCGACTCCAATACACGAAGACCCCTGGAGATTTCTAAGGACACCTGTGCTGTCTTACCACCAGTTGCTATGGGAAAAGACCCATCTTTAATTACAGCTTTTGCACTGCAAGAGCTCAGGGTTTTCCCAACAGCAGTACATTTCACATCATCAACAATATCAGCATTTTTAGCTCTTGTGGGCTGAACTAGCTTACTACCAACCTGTGACTGGCACACATTAGTGACATCGCTTTCTTTTTGAGAACCATGCACAGGTTTTACTTCAACCCCTAACTCCCCACTGTACAAGGCACTGCACAGGGAAAAGTCACTCTCAAAAGCACATTTAGTGGCCCAACTAACTGGGGTCACTCCTACATCAGAATGGGCAGTCTCATAACCAGTCCTTCTCAACATGACAGTCCCAGCCATGGTTTTATTACACACAGTCTTACCCACCACAGTAGTAGGTGTCACCATCTTCATTTGAGTGCGTCGTCTCATAAACACATCCTCAACTGCACTTTCCTTGGCAACTTTTCCTTTGCCCCAAGGTGAAGTAACAGACGCCCTCATAGGCTCCATGGACTCTCTGGCACCCCCTGCAGGCCCAACAGAAACTTCCTCCCTGTTGCCAGAGGTGGTTGCTGACATTTTAAAATAAGAATCTGGACTTGCAGTTGTAGATATTTGCCCAGTATCAGCGGTATTCCAGAGTCTGGGACAGTAAAAGATCCCATGCCCCCACTGACCACATTCCAGGCATGGTACATTTCCACTCTTATCTTTGTTGGGACACTGAGCCACATCAACAATGCAGCTCCTCCTTCCAGGCACTACTTTTTCTCCGGTCACCATGGGAGATTGCACTCTCCAAGCAGAACTTTGCTGGCTCTTTCCAACACGCTGTATTGGCTCCTCTTGATACCACTTGCCATGATCCTTGTACGACATGGCCCCCCCTACACAGACAGCCCGTCTGGCCTCCTCTGTGTTGCTATGGGCCTTCACTCTTGGTCCTGGCCTCTGGTCAGCCCCTCTCCTTGCACATAGCATAGGCTTCTCTCTGCTGGACCAACTCTCAAGCCGTGACAAATTCACATTTTTCACAACAGCTACTGGTTTAACTGCAACAGCTACTGGTTTAACTACAACACCCCTCTCCCAGGTACGGACATCCTGCAGCTCTCTCCTTGTACTGAAGGTTGGCTTGCTTTCCTCTTTAGGTTGGTTCAATGCTGCCAGGTGCCGCTTGCACCAGTCCACAGCAGACTCACCCACATCTAAATTTCCCGGCTTGGCTGGGGCGTGCGGTATATAACCCCCTAGCCACAGGGCTCTATCTCTCGCTTCAGCAAACATTGCTTCCTTTTTTTGTTTTGACCGCCCCATCTTTGCAGTCATGCACACAGCAGTGTGTTACACAGTTCAGCAACACCATGGAACACTGTCTCTTTAAGGCAAAGTCCTTTTCACTAGCAGGTTCTCCTCACCTGCACACACAGATAGTGCAGACTTATGCACCAAACAGTTCATATAACTGATGAACTTACTTCATCGCAGGGATCTCCCATTCTGCCCGCATTCTCCACCATATGTGGGCACTCGCTTCAAAGTGGTAGAGCTTTTAAACGCACACAGCTACTCGCTTTCTTTTTCAGGGCCTTTTTAGCCCACTTTTATTTAAATGACAGTTCAATAACATAAGAGGTTCCCACGCAGGGGTATCCACCATCACACAAAACAACGATTCAGCCTCCTGGCTTATACTCAGCTTGATGTCGGTCTCCTGCAGACTTCTTCAAGAATTATGGCTCTAGCACACCGCTGGCCTCTAGCAGCCCCTTGCTGCTTTTGGCTTCCACCTCTCCTAGGTGGAGGCCACCTGACTCCTATCTGCTGGGGTGGAGCCCAGAACCCTGGTCCTGACTCTCTCTAAAGGCCTGCACACACCTGTGCAATCAGTCTCCTGGCCATTCCCAAAACCTGGTCCCAGGATTGGAGATTTCATCCCTCCCAGATCTCTTTGAAATCTCCAGGCTCCAGATCCCAAAACAGACTTTACAAACAAAGGAGGAAAGTGAAAAGCCACTTTCCTCCGTATCAAACACATACCCTGGAGCCCCTCAACCTGCCTTTGTTGAGAATCCAGGGTGACAGATCGCCACACTGTCACAATATATATATATATATATATATATATATATATATATATATACACACACACATATACATATACACATATATACACACACATATATATACACATACATACATACACGAAACAACTAGAGCAATATCCATAAAAAATATCCATAAAACAAATATAAAATAAAAGAAATATGTACCAATCCTAAGTAATAAAATCTTGGTTATATAAACGCATGTAAATAAATGCATCTAAAAGTGATAATCCATAACTTAATCACGTGAAATCAATCTCAATCAAAAGTGGTTAAAGGATAGAAGCACAGATAGAAAAAGCTAAGAATATATAAAAAAAATAATTAAGAAGGAAATTCTGAAAAATTATAAATTAAAAAATATAAAAAATAATAAAAGTACCTGTATATCCAAAATAAATTCAACTATTGTCAATGAAACAATTTATGTCTAAATCAATGTTCATGCCATTTGGAAAAAGAGATCTCAATTCAATAATCCACTTAGTCTCTAATTGTGAGACAGCCCTCCGTTTATGGCCACCTCTCCACTGGGGTTTAATAAGGTCAATACCTGTAAATTTTAACTGGGTAGGGTCTCTGCAGTGGTGATCTCTAAAATGTTTGGAGAGGGAATGCTCCTTGAAGCCTCTCTTGATATTATAAAATGCTCCCTAAGCCAATCTCTTACTCTCCTGGTGGTTCTGCCAATGTACTGCTTTTTACATGGGCATTCCAGTAAATAAACCACGAGTGCTGTTGCATGTAATGAGAGATTCAATATTATAAAGCTTGCCCAATACATTTGATTTAAATTCTTTAATCATTCTTTTATGGGTGCCGTTGTATTGACAGGCCATACATCTATTGCAAGGAAAGGTCCTTTTAACCCAAACAAAAAAAAGATAAAGATAAATTCTTCACCAGCACGGATCACCGTTATATCTGGACTTGTTTGCTGTGTTATAAGACAATGCACTTTAGTCACTTCTATATCATTTGACTGTAATAGCTGGATAAGTAATTTTTGATGACTCACTAACCAACACCTTTTAGCGCTTTATAGCACCTGCCTCATTTATTTTTATCATTATTATCAGTTTTATTGATAATATTTATTTATTGGTACTTTTGAGCGCTGCATTTATATACTGTATATATTAGCAGCTCCTTGCTGCTCTGGCTCCCACCTCTCTCCTAGGTGGAGCCCTCCTGACTCCTGGGCGATGACCTCCTGTCTGCTGGGGTGGAGCCCAGAACCATGGTCAGGTCACTACTAATAGCCCAGCACACACCTGACCAATTAGTGTGCTGGTGGTTCTGAAAACCTGGACTCAGGATTGGAGTTTTCATACCTCCTGGATCACTTTGAAATCTCCAGACTCCAGGTCCCAATACAGACTTTATCAAACACTGAGGAAACTGAAAAGCTAGTTTCCTCTCCATGACAAGCTCCCTGGAGCCCCTCAACCCACCTTGTTGAGAATTCTGGGTCATAACCTCTTTCTAGACCCTGGCAGGGCAATGCTCTGCCACAATGATTGATTCTCATTTAACAGCTATCATTAAATACAAGCTGTCCTCTTTAAAGATACAACCATTCTTACCAAGCAAAGAGCTCTTAACCCAACAGGAGTAAAGCTCTAAGAAGGCACCCTGCCATGCTAATAATATCCCATACATTCTATTAGCAGTTGGTTGTTAAAAGAGAGGGTTCCATAGAAACTGTACAGCCATCTGCAAACTGTGCAAAAAGGACTCTAAGCTCTGTGGCATCTGTGCTGATGCAAAAAGAGAAAAAAAGAAGTCCCATAATGAGATACGCTACTGTTTTCATATAGTTATCAATTATATCACTTATGTTGATTTACATACTAGTCCTTCTAAAAAATTTACAAGCGCACCATGATTGTGTCCGTGTTTCTCCAAGGCTTGAAAATATGTAAATGCTTACGAATAAAGTGTTAACTCAAACCATCTTGTTTCTTGCTAACAAAACAGTAAAAGAGCCATGACACAGACCCTATCAGAATAACTGGGAATTCTTTTTCTTCAGTTGGAATGAAATGAGCTTTATGAATTGAGGAGGGGAAGCTTTCATCCATCCACCTGTTTTTTCATTCATAGAGTGTTTTTGATTGAAGCTCTAGCAAAGCACTGTTTTTTTAATCATTTTTTCTAAACATGGGACTTTACTTGGGCTTCCTTTTTTGGAAGACACCTTCAAGGGCCTTTTTTAACCACTTGCCTACAGGGCACTTATACCGCCTTCCTGCCCAGGCCAATTTCCAGCTTTCAGCTCTGTCACACTTTGAATGACAATTGCGCGGTCATGCAACACTGTACCCATATGAAATTTTTATAATTTGAGACAGATAGAGCTTTCTTTTGGTGGTATTTAATCACCTCTGGGATTTTTATTTTTTCTTAAACAAACCAAAAATCACTGAAAATTTTTTAAAAAACGTTTTTTCTTAGTTTTTGTTATACAATTTTGTAAATAAGTGATTTTTCTCCTTCACTGATGTGCGCTAATGAGGTTGCACTGATGGACACTGATAGGTGGCACTGATGAGGAGGCACTGGTAGGTTGCACTGATGGGCATTGACAGGCATCACTGATGGGCACTGAAAGGCAGCACTGATATATGGCACTAATAGGCAGCACTGACTGGCACTGTTAGGCGGCACTGATTGGCATTGATAGGTGGCACTGATGAGTGACATTGAAAGGCAGCTCAGATGGGCACTGATATGTGGCATTAATGTGGCACTAATGGGCACTGGCACGTGGCACTGATGAGCACTGACTGCTGGCACTGATGGACACTGACAGGTGGCACTTCTGGGGCCACACTGATCATCAATGCGCTGATGATCAGTGTACATGTCCCCTCCGTGGAAAGCCGATTACCGGCTCTCCTCTCCTCTCGAGCTGTCAGCGTGACAGCTCGAGAGGAAAGAAATGCCGATAACCGGCATTTCCGTGTTTACATGCGATCAGCTGTGATTGGACACAGCTGATCACATGACCGAGACGACATCTTCGGGTCTTCCCGTGGTCCGTTGTGTCCGAGGGACACAGCGCACGACGATCGCCGTGCTGCATGCTCCTGAGCCGCGCATGCACGCTGAGAATGGAAGGACATCATATGGCATCCTATCAGAATGAGAGAACCACCTTGCACCTGTCATTGTACTATATGGCAGGCAGAAGGTGGTTAAAGTAGATTTTTCTTTTTTTTTTGTATACAGTACTTGACAGCAGTTGAGTATCCTCAGGCAACACATTAGTCTAGGTTCACACCTATGCATTTTCCGTTGAGTTTTGCAGAAACGTACAACAGTCCATTTAACATGACAGGTTCACGTTTTCACCCGGTGCGTTTTTTAGAAGGGGTCAGGAACTTTTTGTAAACTCAAAACATTGCATTTTTGGTTCTATAGACTTCAATGGAGATGCTGCAGAAAAGCATGTAGTGCATTTGTGATGAGTTTCACATTTTAATCTGACCCAGCAACAAGTTGGAAAAAAAATGCAAAACACATCAAAAACGCATAAAAAAGGCATGTGCAAAATCACAAAATGCACTGCCGAAATGGATCAAACGCAAACTGCATAGGTGTAAACCTAGCCTCACAGAGTGCCCTAGAACATCAAGACAGTTTGGTGTACAATAACATACATAATAAGCATTTCAAACTTAATTTAGTAGTCAAAAAGTCAACAATATTAACTCTTTCCTACTTGTTCAAGCAGGAGTTGGACTGAATGTCTCATGCTTGATATTGGCAAGACCTTCTCATTGCTATCAACATTTTATAGCCAGGAGATAGGCTGAATAGGGAAGAGCAAAAAGGGATAGGCTGAATAGGGGAGAGCAGAAAGGGTGATGAGGCATCTCTTGTTATTGCCTTAAAAGGACCTTTTTGCCTTACTTTTCAGTCTTGTTGGTGCTGCTGTCCAAATGTGGTACCCCAGCTGGGCTAATTAAAAAAAACAAACAAAAAAAAAAACTAAAAAAAAAAAAACATTTATAGCCAATATAATTTTTATTTATTATGACAGATGACTACTGTGAAGTCCAGTTCTGCTTTGTTTTTCTCTCCCTCCTACAACTACTAAGAAAAAGAAACTTTTTGCAAACTATCAATGTTAGAATAGTTTTTTTTTTTCAGCTTGATAAATTATAGATATTTCACTAACACAAGGCTGAATGTCTCTGTGCAAGTTCATCCTTGTTCGCAACTTCTGTCCTGTTTCACCAAAGTAAGATCCTTTGCTACATTTTTTGCACTGGATAAGGTACACCACATTACTGGAGGTGCAGTTGTATGATTCGGTGATACTGAAGGTCCCTTTTGAGTGTGTGACCCTTTTTGATGGATTAATTTGGTTGCACAGTTTGCAGCATATGTTATTGCAGGGTTTGCTTCCATTATTTGTGACATCATATTTAGAAGGACGTTTCCTACTGATTAGTTTATGTCTGAGGTTGGGGGGGGTTGTCTGATAGCCAGTATTGGGGGTTGCTGGAATATTTCTTTCAGGGTTCTATTCTCAGTTATGATGGGTTGTAAATCTTTGATTATTTTTCTTATTCCTTCTAGTGCTTTATTATATGTGGCTGCTAGGAGGTACACGGTTGTTTGTTCTTTTTTCTCTTTAGGTTTTCAAGGCTGTGTTTATGCTTGTATTGATAGTTTTGTCCCTTGTAACCTTTCTTATGGATGGAGTCTGCTAGTGTCCCGAGATTTTTATCTCGGTCTTTCGGGTCTGAACATATTTAGTAGTATCTGATGGCCTGACTGTATGATGACCCGTTTAGTGTGTTGGGGGTGACAGCTGGAACTGTGGTGGTAGTTGCACCTGTCAGTGGGTTTCCTGTATATTGAAGTGTGAAGCTTGTCATACCTGAAGTTGATGTGTGTTTGAGTGTTCCATTTTTAGTTTGATTGATAGGTGAAAAGTGTTGATCAATGAGTAAAATTGTTTTAGATTTTCTTCACCTTCTCTCCATATGATGAAAATATCTTCAATATAGCGATAGTATCTGTATGTTTTTTTGTTGCATGATGTTCAGGAATTTTTCCTCCAGGTCAGCCATAAATACATTTGCATATTGGGGTACCATTTTACTTCCCA